TCCAACTTGAGGGAAAGTGTGAAAATCTAGATCCGATTTTGTAGGGATTGATTAAGTAAATATCAGGATTTGAATCTGATTGTATATTCCTTGGTCTTCTCCCCTGATTCTCGGTCATACAATTAATTCAATTGTCCCTCATTCTTGTATATAATTATACCTCATCGAGATGAATAATATACAGTTGAATCATCATTCTTGGTGTCCTACAAGAACCCTTTCATCTCAAAAGCTAAAGCTATTAAAGTGACTCTAGAGAGAAGGATTGTAAAAACAAGTGCTGGATAAACTGGTATGGATAAGGGTGACATAACTGCCCAAGGAATGCACGCTTCCAATTTTCGATGCTCTTGGAAATCTTCTAACTCACCATTTTTTTTCCCTGAAGGATATTCTTTATTAATCTTATTTAAGTATCATAAATAGGATCAGAGGCTAATTTAGAGAGATTAGGGGCTGATTTAGTGGGATCAGTCATTAAGGATTAGCCCGTACCTGCACAGATTATAATCATTTATACAAGCAAAGAAGCATTCTTCTGAACCAGTTCGTTGCCCCTTGCTTCATCTCCTTTACTTGTTATTCCATAAAGTAGGGATAGGTACTTTAAACAGAGTTGATGAAAATTTAAATAAATTTTGGGTGCTGCTTAAATGGCTATAAAGAGGCTGGAACTGTGCAAATATAGCATTATGATTTTTCTTGATACTCTGCTGAGCTTGCATAAATGAATTATTTGTTCATTTTCTATTTTTATTGTGCAGAATAGTGATATTAAACAAGGATCTAAAGTTGGTGGCAAAGAACCAAACTCCATTTCCAGTGAACTTGCTTCTGCAATAAATGATGGTCTTTACTTCTATGAGCAGGTTAAATGTTACCTTTGTTTTTGCTTTTACCAGGCCGTTGTCATCTCTTCAACATTGAATTAATGTTCCCCACATAATTATTGACAGGAACTTAAAAATAAGCGGTCAAATCGTAGAAAGAATAATTTTGATAATAGAGATCGAAAGTTAAAATCTACAAGCAATACTTCAGGAGTGCCTAATATGAAGATGGGAGAAAATATCAGTGCAAGCAATGCCCTGGAAGAGGCTGGAAGCACGAGTCTCCGGAGGAAACAAAAAGGCACTCTCAAGCAGCAGTCTTCCCATAAGCAGCGGTTTTTCTCTAGCAATTTTAGAAATCATGGAACTGGTCGTAACTCTTTGGGAATTATATCTGAAAGTCCACCAAGTAATTCCGTTGGATTTTTCTTCGCTTCTACGCCTCCTGAAAATCATGGGTCAGTTTGGAATTGTGTGTTCCCTGAGCTCTACAGTGTGATATTGGTTTTTGTTATCTTGTTTTTTGAGTAATTACATGAAATGATCATTGGCATGAGGAGCATGTCATAAATGATAAAAGAAACGGTATACTTATTGTTTGATTGTTCTGCTTGATGAACGTGAAACTTTCCAATAATTATCTTTATTTTGCAGCCCTAGACCTTCAAAATTGAGTGTTTCACCCCGCCTTTCTGGAAGTAGCCCACCTGTGGGTTCCTTGCCTAAGTCTTTTCCACCATTTCAGCACCCGAGTCACCAACTTTTAGAAGAAAATGGTTTCAAACATCAGAAGTAAGTGATAGTGCTACTGCTTACAGTACTTGTGCATGAGGACTTGTAGAGTGAAAGATATAGTGCCTTGTCATGTCATTTATGTAACTGTTTTTCCTTATAGGTATCTCAAGTATCATAAGCGGTGCCTGAATGATAGAAAGAAACTTGGAATTGGCTGCAGTGAGGTGGACTAAAACTCTAAACCTTCTTTGAAACAATTCATAATTAAAGATCAAATGGTGAAGTTATGAGGGTTGATTAATATTTTCAATACTAGTATTTTTCTCAGTTTTTATTCATATTGTTCATGTAAGTTTTTAAACATTTTCCTTTGTTCTATTTATTTCTTTTGACAAAGACTGCTGCTGGTGTTAGTTAATTATTTTGTGATTTAGCATGGTCAATCGTTAGTTGAGTTCTTCATGGAGTCTTATTAGCCCAGTTGTTTCTCAGTAACACCACTTATTCCATACACCCTTTTTGTTACTCACAAATTTAGCATATATATTTTCTGGCCTGACATTACTTTCAATTGCATGACTACTTATTTCTGTAGGATTTGCTTGTCTATACAGGAAATGAATACATTATACAGGTTCTGGTCATACTTTCTCAGAGACATGTTTGTTCCTTCTATGTACGATGAATTTAAGAAACTAGCAATGGAGGATGCATTGGCTAATTATTATTACGGGATAGAGTGCCTTTTCAGATTCTACAGGTAATAGCATCAAATTATGTCCTTATTATTTGCTTGGTAAATTTATTACCATCATTATCCTTTTATTTTCTATTCCTCGCAATCTGAATAGAATAATTCATTGATGTGAAATTTTTGTTTATTTATGTTCAAGTTCATCATTATTATGTATAAATATATTATGTGAGGAGAAAAATATGCGGAGGAGGACAACATATCCTCCTCGGAGAAACTGAAATTGTGGGAATAAAAGTGCCAGAAAGTTCTCATCCTTTTGCATGTCAAACAAGGGATATATTTATAAAGCCATGCGTTGTAGAGCACCGAAGAATCACAATCCTGTTTCTTTTTTGTTGGCCTGGACAATCCTATCTCATAACGTATGTTAGGGCAAAGCTAAACCAGGAAAACAGCTCAAACAAGAAAGATTTATAAAACCATATCGTGCATGTCAAACAAGGAAATTTTATATGAAACTATGCATATACCAGAGAAACTCGACCCTATCTTGTTACTCATGCGAGGGCAATGAGACAACATTTAAGATGTTGACATATTATTTAAACCATGCACAGCAGTGAACCCTCACTGCCACAATGTTATAGTCTAATCTGTTCCAAAACTCATGTATCAGAAGACATCGCTCCAAAGGACATGTAATCAATCAGAATTCCAGCGGCTTATTCCGCAGGTTGCTGCCTGACAATGCAAAAAATAACATATCCACCCCTCCCCCCCAAAAAAAAAAAAGGAATAGGAGCAAGTGGAAACTGCATATAAACTAGGCTGATGCAACAGAATTGTCTCAGGAAATAGCTGTGTAAGGTCTGCAGATATGGAGATTTTTATTGTAGAGGACAGATTCGAGCTGCTTTTATAATGACCATTTTAAAAGGTAAAACTTGGGGCACATTGTTCCTCTTGTGATTTTGAGCAATTCCTTGTTTCAGTTATGGCTTGGAGAAGGAATTTAGAGAGGATCTATACAAGGATTTTGAACAGTTGACTCTGGACTTTTACCACAAGGGCAATTTGTATGGCCTGGAAAAATACTGGTAATTAATTAGCTCTTTGGTCTTAAAATTTTACTGCGCAATTGTAATTTATCTCAGGTTGTTTGGGGCTATCACACTATCAATCACTCGTATTTTCTTTTGGTTATGGCAGGGCATTTCACCACTATCGTGCGGTACGGGACCAGAAAGAACCGTTGAGCAAACACCCGGAGCTAGATAAATTGCTCAGAGAAGAATACCGAAGTTTGGAAGACTTTCGAGCTAAAGAAAGAAAGACGGTGAAAGAGGGCATCAACTAAATTATGAGTAATACAAAATCCTTTTGGCAGAGTTTTTGATGGCGTCCCCAGTTTTGAATTGAAATCTAACATGACAGTGAGTTGGAGGAGAAGCGGCCTGCTTTTTAATTTGAACGCAAAGAGCAAGATTATTTTTGTTTGTTCAATATTGGTTTGGATTGCTTAAACCTTGCCTGTGCGAGGGCTGCTGATTGCCAAGCCTCCCAACGTTTCTGAAGCTTCCGAATGCATCCTCTGTTTCCGGGTCATTCGACTTTGAGGAGGATATGTTGTACATAAACTGATAGACTAGTCTAGGAAAGAACCAAAAAAAAAAAAACAAGAAGAAAAGAAAAGAGGGGAGAGTCCTTTATTTTAAATGGGAATGGTGTCGAAAAATGTGCAAGGTTTTGTACTTTATAGCTTTGCCAAATTTGCAATAAGACTTGTTTTTAGTGTAACCCAATGTGATCAATCGATCGAGCATCACCAAGTTGAGGCGGGGCTCTGCCGTGGAGTTCTTCCCAGAGATGACAAGGGCCTGCCAAAGCAAAGCATGCAAATCAGAGGGACAAAATCACGGGTCGCATTGGCATGCAAAATTGAAGATGCTTCACCGTAATTCCCGAAGTCTGTCTGCACGATCATAGGTCATCCTTAGCGATGTGCTCCAGTTATATATTTTGCGTGCCAGGCCATTTTAAAGGCTAGCCTCTTCGCTACAAATAAAGTTACATTTTCATCATGGAGAGGCTGCGCAAGAGTGAAATAATGTTCTCTCTTCTCTACCACCAAAAAGGTGTGATTTTGCATGGAGTTTTCCCTTCTCTTTATCTTTTGGAGCGTATTGTTAGCAATATTTCCTTTTTATGGAAGGCATATAACTTGTTCGCTTTGGATCTTACATATGCGGAAAAAAATGAAATGCATATAAGTATATTTAGAGAGAAGCAAAAAGAAAAAAAGAGAAAGAAAAAAGAGAGATCATTAAAACGAGATAATAATTAATAAACCTTAACTTTGATCAAAAAGAAATTAACAAACTTAAGGCTTTGTTTGGTTGGAGGGTTTTGAGGGGAGGGGTGTGTTTGGTTGGGAAAAATAGAAGGGAGGGAGGGAAGAAATTTGTCTTTTAGTGCTCCCCTCCCCTCCCCTCCCCTCCCCATGCTCCCCTCTAAATTTGGGGTTTTTTGGAGGGGAGAGAAATATTATGTCTAATATTGGCCAAACTATCCATACTGATTTTTTAATATTCCAAGTTTGTCCATCTTATTAAAAATCTTTTTTCACTTCTCTCTCTTTTTAGCCACTAATAATATTTGATAATAATAATATAATAATGTAATATATACATATCATATGTATTAATATATACATATCATAACGTGTGTATTATAATTATATATTATATTGTGTGTGTATTAAAAAAAATAAATTAGTCTAAATATAGAGATAAGGGTATATTTGTCAATTTATAATTACCTCCCCTCTCCTCCTCTTATGAACCAAACAAGAAATCTCCCCTCCCCTTCCCCTCCCCTCCAACCAAACAAAACTATGACCTCCCTTCCCCTCTCCTCCCCTCCCTTTAATTAACCTCCCCTCCCCTCCCTTCCATTGAACCAAACAAAGCCTAACATATAAAGGCATTGGGCAAACGCTAAAAGTTGCTTCTCACTGGAATGAGGATTTATTAGTAAACAGGCCTTCGAGATTTGGCTTCAAAGTGTTGAGTTTGAGGATTATATCCGTGTCGGCCTCAACCAGATTGATGAGCAATGTGGCACATATCATAGTGCCTTGTCTAACGCAGCGATCTCATTTTTGCTGTAACCCAATGCGGGGAAAAAATCAACATCACACTCGCAGCTAAAACAGTTTTTCTTACAATCGTGCAGTATATGGAACGCAGCCCAAACCAGAACGAAAGCTGGATTCTGAGGAAGTTCCCATGTTCATACCATCTTGTATTATTGGAACTTAGCATAGATACAACTTTAAAGATAACTGCATGCTAGCAATTCAACTTAGGAAAACAGCAGGCAGAAGGCCAGTTCCAATACAAAACAAAAACTCAAAAGGAAAACAGTACAAAGAAGAAGACACAGCAAAACAAATAAACAATATGTACAGGGTCCTGCTTTTGCTGTATTGAGTTTGCTGCGACTAAGATCGGGGATGCCAGTTTGTCACCCACTCTGTTAAAGTTGCAATATTTCTATTTATGTCTTCAACAGTATCACTCCTTAATGCAATAACTCTGTCCTCTGGGTAACTTTCTTTAGCTTCCTCAAGCAGAACTTGAAAGATTTCGCACTCAATATTGTTGGAGAGCTTCGACTCAGTGTATCCCCTGTTACACAGTTTGAGATAGTATGTAATTTGTATGAGATGAAAAAATTAGTTGTTAAAGAATCATATTTACAACTTCATCCCATACCTCTTGCTCAATCGGTCATACAACACAGTGTTATCGGTTTGAAGTACCACCACAATATCAAACCATCGCTCAGGAAAGAAATCACAACCATGGTAGTCCACAACGTTCCCGCCTCCTTCCATAATGTCTTCAAGCTCATCGCAGACCTACAAAATCCAAGAAATGTAAGTACATTAGAATCCAAGGCAGACTCCCTAGAACGATAAAACTGGACCTGCCACCTTTGGTGTCAGGAAAGGGAACTGAAAAATATTTTCAATAAGTACGTTGACTTCCATTTTTTTTTTTTTTTTTTTTTAAAAAGAAGGTATTATCATGATATAATATTTTCATGCAGATGCGTGCGATTATTAGTCTTACTAATAAATATACTATCTAAACAAATACTCAATAAGATGAACCCATTCAAACTCTATCAATCCATTAGCCTTTTCGATGTCCTGTGTGTTTTATCTTGGGCCTGATTCAATGGTACGATTCATGCATTTACACCTATGATAGCAATTAAACATGAAATGCAAATAAATATTTTCTTAAGCGTTGATTCATATAGCAGCTCACCAAGTCTTCATTAACGACATAACAATCAAGCTCATCATCCCATCCATCATGCAAGTTCTTCTCTTTGACCAATTCTCCAATATTGATGTGGCGAAGTTGGATAGCTTCTGCTAGAGCAGAGGACATTGTCGTCTTTCCTGTGCCTGGCGTACCAGTCACCAGTATGTTTGGCCTCTTCCTCTGGCTGCCCTGTTCAACCATGTCTATAACCTGCACTCTTAACCAGGCTCTGAATTACGTAACTGATGATAAATAGTATTATCACAGAAGTTAAGAACAAAAGTATTATAGAAGCTTTCAATTTACTGGAACTGGAAATGGACGTCAGTTTCAGTTGAGATGTTTCCATATGCAAAAGACTTGCGAACAGAGAACATAGAATGGCAGGCTTCCACTGAGATTCGGTTGTGTGAAATATATATATATATAAAACAAAAGGACCGAAAACTGAACATTGCTTTTCCTAATCCAATCAAATTGAACAAAGATGCAGAAATAAATTACCTCTTACATTGTGCTAACAATTTAAAAGGCTAAGTGGCTCATATTTTGATTTACCCGATCGCATACAAAATTCTTGAACACACTCACTTAATAAAACATTGGTAAACCAAACAAATAATGTGTACAAAACATCCAGTGAAGTTGAAGAGTCCCCCCGGTTTTTTTGGAATAATCTATACTTCTTAAAACCACATGAATTCGTTAACTTAAAGAAAAACACAACCAAAGAAAACAGAAGACTAGAATCACAAAATGAAGATCCAAAAGAAAAAATATCACGCCAATGACAACACATTCCAGGATTAGGATTTGGGAGGGAGATAGGGAGAAGGATTAGCACGAACACGAGACGAACCGGGACACGAAGAACCAGGGAGCAAGACTGAAGATGGAGAAGGATGAGTCGAGCGGAGCAGAGAGAAGGGCACGGTGGCGGTGGAGTTAGGGTTCAGAGCAGGCGGCGGAAGATTGAGATAGTTAAGAGTAGAAGAGGGAGCGTGAAACGGAGAAAGTGAAGAGAATGGAATACCTCAGGAGATGGAAAATGTCAGGTAACGCTGGCGGCGAGAAGGAAAGGGCAGCGTACACAGAATCGGAGACGCAGAAGAAGGGGCATTTGTACAGAAGGCTTGAGAATATGCCACTCACACCGCATCTTTTTACATTATTATTTATATTTATATTGAAATTAAATCTGAGCTGCTGGAGCCTGGAGCTTTTTGATGATACTCCCCTGTATGTCTTACATATAAAAGTTACTTATCTAATTTGAATAAACTAAAAAAATAAATTAAGTTAGTTGTTTATAATAAATAGGTGTTGTTTTTTTTTAAAATGTCTTTATTAATCAAATATATTGACTAGACTACTATTATTAAAAAGATTATTTTAGAAAAAAAATACATAAATATAAGAGAAAAAGTGGATTAGGGTCTTATATTTAGAAACAAAATAAAAATCAAACGAAATATTATATTAAGGACTGGAGGTAATATTGGATCGATGAAAGACGTGTTTATTTTATTCCTTTAATTTATATTTTTTTCCTAATATTATCATATTATATATATATAAAATATATATATATATATATATAGGATAGTTTTAATGAATAGGAGCCTGTGTTGCTTTGGGTAGACATGGGGAGTGGGAAAGGGGGGAGAGAGGGGGTGGATTGTGAGGAGAGAGATGTAATGTAGAGTTGATTCATAAGTTACAATTTGAGGCCTCTCTGTTTCGAGCTGCTCCTACGGATCTCCATCTTCTTCTATTTCCATGTGGTCTTGCCTGTTGATGAGGACGTGGCTGAAAACTATACGATCAAATGGGCTTTTAGAAGCCAACAACATGAGTAAATCGAGAAATTAAGAACAAAATATTATGGCAATTTTGCACCAAGCAAGCACGCTTAATTAAATTAGAGTTATACTTGATATGAGAACTAGTGGTGGTTTGTTGATTATAAAATGGTAGCCTGTGGGATAAATGGGTTTGTAGCGAGGGAGAGAAAATCATAGCAATTCACGGTGATCAAGATGAATGTATTCTTTCGCTGGGGCGAAAATCCTGTCACTATTCCTCCAGTATGTTGTAGTTGGTTTCGCTAGTTAAAAGTAAAATAGAAGAACAAGTAGAAAGAATGAAACCATCATTAGGCGAAGCTAACTCCCTCTTAAAATATATCTATTAACTTTTTCTTGGCCAACCACTCTTTAATATTGCTACTGGATGGAAAAGTCCCAATTTTCCTTTTTAATCTTCTTAACCAGACCCTGATGTTTCACCAAAAGTGACACCATCTTCGTAGTCAAATACTCAAATTGGACCTGAACATTGATGAAGCTGCTTCTGCCCCTTCTATCTAAACTTAATAGAGCGGGCCAGGCGTCTCCATCAGAACTCAGCATGTGAAGGGGGCCAAAACATGTCATTTTCTCAGGAAACCAGATTTAATCCCCTTTATTTTTGGGGGAACATAACTACGTGCCGAGCCTCTTCTTTTTCTTTTTTCTTTTTTTTCCTTTTAATGCAAAAATGGGTTGTATCCCGAGCTTTAATTTAGCATCTATCCCTCAGCATCCATACCAAAGTGCGTCGCAACATTTTCCTAAATTTCAATGCACTAGCAGACAATTCGGCAAAAGCATAAATAGTAGCTAGCTAAAAGGCAAAGCCATAAGCAATATCCTAGACAAGAATAATAGCAAGTAGTAGGGAACAAAATGTTGCCTTGTGCAAGACCTAATCCCACCAAAAGGTAGTGCTCCATACTTAATTTAAAATGCGTCCAGAAAGGAGGTCTTGATCCTAGTTTTATGTAACTATATAATCCACTATTCTGTGAGTGTTGAGAGAAGATCTGAGGAAAAGGCCTCAACAAAAGAACATGGAGTTGCGGACGTTATCCTGCAATTTGGGCAACTGGGGCACAGGAACCGGTCCAGCAGATGACAGCCCGCCATGGCTCGAAGAAGTCTCAGACTTGTCCTCAAATTTGATCATCTGTCCCATCTGAGTTGCAGCCAAGTGCGCATAGCATATTGGAGCAACTACGATCACAGATATTAAAGCAACCAAAACACACAGTCAGATATGCCCCAAGGAATAGTAGCACTCAAGTAACCAACCATCTAAGAATGGCACGTGTTGCAAGAATTTACCAACAGATATGGCAGTGGTGCTCCGCTGATACCTGTCATTTAACAAGTAAAATCTATTAATAATAGCCTCTTGGATGTAGATTAACATACATATATCATCCCATGAGAAGGCAATCATGAATTCAAGCGTATACTTACACGTATGATAACGAATGCACAAGTGCCTGCAGATCATCAGGCGAGAAACCAATCTCATCTAACAGAACATGGTAATGCGTCGGCCTGGTAGTTCCCTGTGGAGCAAGTTTTCAAAAAGAAAGCAGCCCGCTTATATGTAGGTCCTTAGGAAAGCCAGACTTTAACCGTCCAACAGCATGGTGCAGAGAGGGTGTTTGGGGATGGGAAGATTTTTAAGGGAAGAAAACACTTCAACACAAGCAGTCTTCCCATGTCACTTGAGAAGGACCAGGGGGGATAAGATAAGATACAAAAGTGGCGTATAACAGACCCCAAAACCAACATAAGAAATGACTTACAACAGACTCCAGTCACCAGGAGTTTCTTAATGACCGAAGCTGTCCAACCTCATTTAATTCTACATTGTCTTAAACTCAAGTATCACGAATCAGAAAGCATATTTTTAACATGTGAAATGAGAAGCGCATCAAACGATAACATTCCATAAAGTAGATTAATTATAAAGCATAACATATATGTCTACCTTTACAACATGCACGAACATTCAATGTAATAAATCAGACCCAGTAGATGGGAAATATTTATGTCATAAACTAACTCAATATTTATAAACAACAAATTCTTGAAATAAGTGCAAACAACAGCCGCTTTTTCCTTTACAAAAGGAAAAGGCAATGCTTCAAAACATGCCATGCCAATTTATTGTTTTCACATATTTTTGAATGGTAAAAGGAATGTTATTTTGCCATATCAATTGCCAAGTCAGCAATCGATTGATATTGTTGGTTATATCTTTTATGACTCGCTACAAATTGCAGAGTTGAATCATGAATTTTAAGTCTGATTTGAAGCAAAAGCAATATTTAGTTGAACCTATCAGGTTAATATAGACAATAGTTCAAGAAAACATCTACCTGATAAAAAGCAATATTTGTTTCCCAACTTCACAACTATGAAAAAACTTGTTATGCCAAGAAATACAAAACTGAAAAAGAACTGTGGAGGAAAACAAAATATGTGCGTGTATATATGTAGAAAAAGAAGCACTGTTTTGTCTAAAATTTACAAGTGCTAAGAATCTTAAACATAATCAGTAGCAGTAGCTCCAATCGTGGATTAGCAAAATTTAAAAACAAATTAATCAAATCAAAATGAAAAATAAAAATGGTAAAAATGAATACGTACGATCATTCCAGCATGTGCACATAAATAAAAGTCATAGTTCCGTGGATGACATATTTTATTATCAATAACGGTTCCTGCAAAACCATACAAACCGATAAAGAGCGAAATGAACATGGACATCAAAATAAGAGATCATTTAAGATGTCATATGAAACATTATACCTGGGGGAACATTGTCTGGAGATGAAGGCTGGAAAAACTTTGTGTGGTGGTTTTTCTGGGCAACAATTACCACAAATTTGGGACACCACTGATCATCAAGAAATTTACAGGCCTAAAAAGCACAAAATTAAAGAGATTAGCCCAACTGAGCTCAAAATATTCTATATTAAAAAACCGTAGTCCAGCTCAAGAACCTCAATGATTTGATTGAGTTCAATGTTCAATACTTGATTGAACTGTGATTCGCTTACCCCATCCCTACGTCAGAAGGAAAAATAAATCACGTAAGGAACAGAATACAAACCATCAGGAACAACCTTTAACGGAAGACTAACACGCCTAAACCACCAGAGGGTGCAAGTTTTCTAGACATGTTAACCAAGACTGATCATAACATGCAAGACATTGAAATGCCAACATCAACCATTCATTGAAGCAATCAAGGCATGCAGCTTATGAAGTCCTAAAAATTAAAACTGCATAGTAAGATATCACAGTAATTAAGGTTAATTTACAACCCCCCCAGGTCAAAAAAAAAAAAAAAGATGATCGTATTACAAAAATTGGATACTGTAAACTTTTTTATCAATTTCCAAAACAATTATGTTTGTTATACATTCAACAAAAATAATCTTCTAATTAGTAACTTAACCATACATTATTTAAATAATATAATAATATATTCTTTTTAACTTTTTTTTTCCTTTTTCAAAAGAATTCACATTTGCAGTTTGCTAAATTTATAAGAATGACCTTTTTTAATATTGATGAAATCAAATATAATGAATACTTATTATATGGAATAAAAAGGTTAGAAAAGCAGGTAGGATTAACAGAAAAAGAATTTTCTCAGTGCTCCCCGCCAATCATATTTTACGAACATTATAGATTTATTTCAGATGTAGCATTTTATGTATAGATGAATTTGGTTGATGAGTTTTTTCTATAAGCGTTGGTAAAATGCCCAAATCATCACCCCCGGGCCAACACACGCCAGTTGAGGTCATTCTTGTTTTAACTAGTATAGCAACTTCAAGGGATTCATGTTGTCATCTTAATTTTTTATTTTAATAAAAAGCTCGAAAAATAGGCAAAGGGCGAAGCTGTAACATACCGGCATTTCAGTACACCGCATATTTTCCCTACTAAAACCCAATCTTCAACATGTTACATGGCAGCTAGGGAACAAATACACAGTTTCCAACATAAATAGTAGATAAAGAAGGACAATGGTGCCAAATGTTTTGGGGTATATCTCTTGATCCTGCAAAAGACCCCCTTCCAAGAAAATACTTCCTGAATCCACGTCTTTACAGGGACATGTACCGTGCTACCGGTATTTTCAAAAACACAAACAATATGGTATTAAATAAGAAATGCAAATAGAGTATTCGTGTAGGAGACGTGCTTTGAAGGGAAAAAATACCTGAATATTATTATATTTTGTGGTTTCCTCTTAGAAGTTGCATAGAAGTCAACCAGAATTCCCTGTAATTATGGAAACCTATCAGCTAGAAGGCTTATTTTTACGGAAGGGCTGGCCAGCAAAAACAAAATGTGTTCAAAAAATTAGTTAACATTAGGCTGCATCAAACACTTGCTATTATAGGACATCGAGCAGGCCGCATAAGAAATTTAAAATAAAATGTACAGGTCAATCATCTTAGGCCACTAAAAATAGAGGAGGGTCCCAATTAAATGCAATATCGACCTGATGATGCCTTCATCTTCATTCCCAGACACCGGCTTGAACAAATTATCGATCATTTCAACCTTTGGAGACTGGGTACGGACACAGGCCCTATACTTTGATATTAGAGGCCACTGTCTAGAGCTGACTACCTGTAAATTAGCATTAAGCATGGCGAAACAGAAAACAGAATATCCTAAATAATTATACCCCGACTTATGCATATTCCGTTATGAAATAATATAGTCATAAATTAACCTCAGAACAATTATTATTTACCGCTGCAATTGAAGGGATATCAGACTGTCCTGGTGAACCGTGTGACACGTCCATGCCAAGAATGATGGTGGGGTCTTTGGAAACAACAGGAATTGACGGTGTATGTTCAATTGATAGCATTGAATTCAGACCACCAAGCTACAAGAGAACAAAATTGTTCAAAGGGAAGCCCATGTGAGTTTTCAAATTTAATTGGAAATTGGGTAATTGAAAAACATAACAGAAAATCTACTGGACAATAATATACCTTAGCATTGATCTTCATCAGAACATTAGTGAGATATTGGTCATTGACCCTTGTAGGAGCTATGCACTGAGTGACCACTCCAAAGTCAGAAAGATTCTTCCGTTTCCATGGACCTTGAATATCCATTTCATTTCCATCAATTAGGAACTGAACATTTGAACACAGAGATATCATTGACAAAATATCCAATCATACAACATCACCAACCATAAAGGTCAGAGTTTTTCCGCTCAGGAAGAAGACAAAGAAGGAAATTGGGGGGCCCAGGAAGTTTCGATTGGATCTCTTCAAACATTTTCTCCACTCTTATCACAGGTGGGCCACGTCTAAACTGAGGTTTTTCTTCAAAGACACAAAATGGTTCTTCTATGAGCTGCCAAAATATACAAAACCAGAATTCAACGTTAGTAATACATTCATGCTTTTCAGTTAATATTCACAAAGCAGACACGGAACTCACAACTCCTTTCACTCCTCCACATTTAATCAGATCTCGCACAAGCCCACGTGTATCACAACGGGCAGAAAAGTTCACCACAGCCCATTTTTCTATCCTCGATGGCTGCACTATTTTCTGCAGAATAGCTCACATCGTTATAACTTTGGCATCAAGATGCTTTTTCTTTTCCTTTTTTTTATCAGATAGACTATCAATTTTGTTCAGAAACGAAAAGTATTAATTACCTTATTATTCAAGTTCCATCTCCCATTTCTTGGGTTATCCTCCCGATCACCAAACATCAGCTATATCAGATAAAATCATAATCATTTTGGAACCACAACCAAGAGGTAAAAGATATAATATTTCTACTAAAATTTGTAAATTACCTAATCTCGAAAGACAAAATAAGAGCACCCCTAGTTCTATAAATAAGCTTGCCCACATGTAAGATTACCATTCTTCTATACTCTGGTCCCTTTCGTGAACTTAAAATTAAATTGCAGCCAGTACTTTTCTAGCCCAAAAATTGCAGCCAATATGAGCAATAAAATTTTGTACGTTGATATGATTTTTTTAAAAAAAAAAAAAAAACCTGAAGCTCAGTTTGTGGCAAATAGCGTTCAAACGAGAATAAAAGAAAATAGACTGGATAAACAACTTCACAGTACCGAGATAAGAAAAAGTGAAATACCCTTGGAGCCTGCAAAACGCGACCCTCCACTTCAGTAAAGCTATTGCTTATTGAAACCCCACAGTTATGAAGCATGGGTTCAGAATTATACTTGTTGCTTTTTAAAGCCTACATCAATGAGAGAAAGATTTTTCAACTCTAACCATGAGTAAATAAAAATTATATCACCCCATTTAATAATTATGCTTACATCAGATAAAACTCTCATTCTCTCTTGGGGCTTCTGCCTAGATTTCTCCACCAGCGAAGCCCTTTGAAGGGTTGACAGTGATTTTGTATACCGTTGTAGGGATACCAGAGAGCAAAGCTTAGAAAACGAACCAGAAAAACACAATCAGTCATAAGGATCAACCGTTACTTTTTATTGAATTTTTTGACGAGACAAATAAACCCTCAATGCACCTCAAGTGGGAAGAAAGTAGGACGTTTTGGTTTCCCAACATTGATACACGGAAGATCAGCAGAAGAACGGAGATCTATCTTACGATGATTAACAAAATAATCATAAACAGTCACTTCCTCAGAAGCATCAATGCTATCCTTTCCACTTTTGCTTTTCAGAGAAAACCTGCATAGCCCATGTCTCATAAAACACTCAACTCATCATACAAGATACCACTCTAAGACTACAATGGATAAAAAATAAAGCGGGAAAAAAAAAAAGGTACGTCTGCTCTCTGCATGGGAGATCGCTAAGCCCCGTTATCTTGTACTCTTGATTGGCTGGACTTGTCTTAATCCTCAGATTTTTTAGCGTCCTTTTGGCCTGTTTACAAAATTTATTGAACAATCTGATGCCTCTATTGAAATAACAGAGAAGCACAAATGGGAAATATTCAGAAATTTTGGATACCTTTGCCCAGTCAATTGAATGAGAATTTCGCACGTTCTGGTTGGCAATTAAAAAGTCCACCACGGGCCCAGGCTGTATGATCATGGTAGTAGATACATCTTAACAAAATAAAAGTAAGGCGTATCAGCACAATATAACAAACATTGCGAAGAGAAGATACAGTACTTAGAACATAGCTAACCTATATTAAGTGATAAACCACTTTGTGTAGTTCTGAAACTTGAATGGAATCCTCTGCAGCCTAAAACCCCACCTCCAACGTCAGCAAAACTCCTTGGATCATTGTGGAAATAAGATTGGCGAACAAGTAAACACCCTCTGCAACAGACAGTGCCCAATTATTTTGCGACATTTTAATACACCAATACAACATGTTCATGATTTACTTACTGCTTGGCAGCATGTTGCCTTAATATGATATCAAGCACTCTGATGGCTTCTTGAAAATTTTCAGAATCTTGACCACGCAGTGCATTAGTGATAGCCTGCATAGGGATTTTAGCAGCATAACTGATCTCCACTTTAAATGTTTTGGAACGATTTGGGCGTCGCATCCTCTTCTTGTCACTCTCATTGGGACTCCCGCGACCATCAGGGCTGCAATTGCCATTATTCCTACAAAGGAAAAGCAATTCATTTGACTAAAATGAAGGCATAAGATCAACCAACGGAGTCAACAAAGATCAAAGTATTTAAACCTGTTTGATATGAGATCCTCCAAGACAACAGTGAATTCAAGCTTGTTTCGAGGAAGAGGGCCAACGGTAAATAAACTCTTCTCCCCGTCATAGGCGAAGTTCTTCCCTGCTAACTCAGAGTCATACGTCTCCTGCACCCTGTCAATGATTTTTCTTCCCACACCCTTGCCTTCTACAGGGCGACCATCTTCGTAAGAAAATGACACCTGCTCGGGGGGGAAAAAGTCAAATGATCCGTATAGGTGCCTCATTCAACCGACAAAGAGATGAGGAACATACACTGTAGTGGAAGAAATAGCCATCGTTGTTCTTAACATTGACTTTGAAGTGATTAGTTAAAAGAGGTAGTTTACTTCCTCTGGATCCCAATCCTCGTCTGGCAATTGGAACACGGGAAACCTTCTTGACAGGTTCCAGAGGAAGTCCTTGATCTGCTATTAATGGAACAACATGTGGTGGGACAGGAGGTGGCGGCGGCAGAGGGCCCTCCGATCCATTTCCTTCTGGCTCCAATGAATCCATATCCTGCGTATAAAAGAAATATCATATAACCCTACAACACGTTGCAAAAAGGAAGAGGAAGGCGCATTTTCATGATTAAACACTTAGATATCCGTAAATAATAGGAAAAGTTTAAGCAATCGCTAGAGATAGAGCAAGACTAGGGAAAAACCAGCCGGAGCCAAGTCCACCACAGGAACTAGAGAAAAAAGCAAATCACTCTTCAAAGGTTAGCTCGGAGAAATGAAGCACAACTAGTTAAATAAACATGCAATGGAAATAGGTAAGCTAACCAGGAACTAACATCAGGTGATACACAGATACCGTAGAATTCACGTTGGACAATAAATTTCAGGCGTCTCGGCCGGAAAAACATAACTGGAGAATAGATATACCCAAAAGGAGTACAAGATTAAAACAGAAACAGAACAGCATTACACATTGCAACAAACAGAGCTTCGCACTCTGAGGGGACCGGGGAAAAAAAAAGGGAACGAAAAGACCCAAAAGGAGAAGCAAAAAAAAGAGGAAATAACACCGTAACAAAGGAAGCAGTAACTCAAAACCCCGTGCGAAGCATCATGCAAAGGGGCTCTCCGTGCTTAAGCAAGATTTAGCTTCAGAACAAACTAGAAACATTTCTTCGAGTGCACAATAAAAGAAAGAAGATGAAACCGATCAAACGCATGCATAACCCCAGACAGCCACTAAAAACCAAATATATCTGCCGCATTTTCCCATACGAGAGGGTATGTACCTCGATAAGCAGAGTGATCACGAAGTTCTACAAGGAGCAAAAAGAAAAAATCCTCAGCACAATGCAACAGAGGTATGATAGAAGGAGAAGAACCAAGAACCCTAGAAGCAGAGAGGCAGAAGAAGAGAGAATTGCTGAGAGAATGGTTTGTGTGAACACTCCCTTGCCCTTTAAGTAAAGAATGAGAGTGAGAGAGTGATATCAGCTGGCGATGGCGCCACACTCTCCGACGTACTGAATTCTCGCGCGGGGCAGTACGAGCTAGCAGCTGGCCAGCTACAGTGTGTGATAGATTTCGTTCGTTGATTTATGGTTCGTGAAATCGACGGATGAGATTACTCATGGAGTTTGTTCTGGCCAATAGAACAGTGGCAGCGCCGCGCACGAAAGTGGTTTACGTGTCACGCCCGGCTGGGCTAGTGCGGGCCTCGACGATCCATTTTTATTTTGACCGTGTTGGACAGAGGACAATGCCAAAATGACGGTTTGTATGCCGTCAGTTAACGCTGAATGAAACTATTAATTCAGACCCGGGATAATGGTAAATTGGGAAAACAGAGAAGGTGGGGGGATTCAGAATTTGGGGGGGCCCACATTCCCACCCGCAACAAAGGTTCAGATCCTTCATTATTCGTCTCTCCGTCCTCAGTGCTCTGAGACTGACGCACTCCTTCGGGCTCTCCCTCCCGCGGCTAAAGAACGTGGAAACTTTCTTAAGTGGTGCCTGTACAGGCATAATTTTCTTTTTATTTTTTTAAATTAAATATTCGTTATTAATTTAAAGGGTAAGGTTAAAGTTTTTGTGTGGGAGGCATTCGTATTCAAAAATTTTATTTGGATTAACGTTGTCTAAGAAGTGTTTTATAGTAATGGTGAATATTAGTTTTATAACAATCAGCGTCAGTTCTTGAAAAATAAGGATGATTTTGCTTCTTTTTTTAACACTTCCAAGACAATATTGATTTAAAAAAGTTTTTGAATATCCAGAACTCCGGTGCAAAAATTTCTCAAGCAAAATTGGATCATAAGATATACGTGAATATATATCATTAAGGGTCTGTTTGGATCAGCGATTGAAAAAGTAGCTTATAGAGAAGTGAAATTGGATAAAAGCTAAATTGGATAAGCTGAATTGTGTTTGGATTAGAGTTCAAAAAAGCTAGATTGCAAAAATGAGATTGGTAAAAGGTTGTTTGGATTATGATTGAGTAAAAGTAAGTTTGGTTGTAAAATGACCAAAATAGATATGAGTTTTAATAAATAATGAAACATGATTAAAAAAATAATTTCACATAATACAATGAAATTAAAATAATTTAATATGAAGAAGTCATAAAAAATATTTTAAATATAAAGTGAAACATGAAAAAATAAAAGTATATTTTTAGGAGCATATTTAAAAATAAAAATATATTTCTAACTTATTCATTACTTTCAACTAATTTTAACTGATTTTTTATTATCTACAAATGAGTTATTTGAGGCTTATAATAAGAACCAAAAGAGGTAATAAATTTCTTAACTTTTTCTCTCTCCATATTTCAAAAGCTATAAGCCATAAACTATAAGTCATAAGCTGTTAATTTTAGCTTATAGCTTATTGTAGCTTTTCAGACAAAAGCCCGATTGCAGAAAAGCTGATCCAAACAGACCCAATTGTGTCAATCGAGCTTATAGAGCTTATAAGCTACTTTTAAACTCAAAATAAGTGATGCCAAACAGGCACTAATACTACCTAATAATATATTTTTAATAGTACCTAATAACATACTACCTCCTGTTCGTAATATAAGAGTTAGTTTGACTTTCAATTTGATTCTAAAAATATGATTTCAATCCACTTTATCTCTCATGTTTATTTATTTTTTCACAAGATATTCTTTGTAGTAATAGTAATTCTAGCTAATACAATTGATTAGCAGAGGTATTTTAAAAAAGACAACACCTATTTATTATAAATAGTTAATTTAGGGGGTGTTTGGGTGATTACCCAAACCATGGTTTGGGAAAAAATTACCCAAACACCATAGAAAAAACCAAAACCATGGTTTTGGCAGAAGCAGAAATTTTCTATTTTTGGAGGAAAAAGAAAGAGTATAAGAACTTATGGGATATGTGTTTTGTTGTTTTTAGAATAAAATAATATTTTTATGTTGGTAAAAATTATTCATTTTTGACAAAAAAATTTTTAATCTCATAATTTATAAATAGATATACACACATTAATTATATTATTTTATATATTATTAATTATGTTAGTAAAACTTATTTTGTTAACAATTTTATTCTTTCAAATTAAAATATATTATAAAATCTATTTTTTATATAATTATCATATTAATTTATGCCCTTTTTAGTAATTTGCACATGTAAAAAGTTCTTCTGGTAACAACTATTCAAACACTCTCACTTCTCAGAATCACTTTTTCACAAAATATATTCTTCAAAAAATCTATTCTCCCCAAAATCTATTTTCCAGAAGCTATTCTCCAAACCATGGTTTGGTTACATCCAAACACCCCCTTAACTAATTTTTTTAATACAATCAAATTAGTCAACTAATTCTTATATTAAAAATAAAAAGCAGTAGATATTATTAAAAGTGATAATTCCTAGAATAAATGAAAGAAAAAAGCGTAAAAAAATGAAGGAGCTTATGAAGAGACTAATGGGCACTGAGATGTATGTAGGCGAATGCTGGTCATATACTCTTGTTAATTGTATTGGTGAATAGGAGCTTGACATTCTTCGCTTTTGCGGTCTTGCCTCGTCTTCCTTGGACTTCCATGGCCCCACCTACTCTCTCAAACGGCTTCCCCCTCGGCTCCCTTCCAATCAATTTCTCACCTATATATAACAGTTGCCCTTATTTGTGGGGGCCATCTCGAGAATTATACCATGCTGCTGCTGTCACGTGCTGAATGTTTGTAATGGGTAAGCATAAAATGAGAGGGCAACTTTTGGTTGTCATTACACACACCCCACAGAATTTTAAATCTCGTGTGAAACGTACGTCCCATTTCCATCTCTATATAATATTATTTCTGGTTTTTAATATAAAAATTTATTTGATTTTTATTTTGATCATAAATATAAAAATTTAATTCATTTTATATATCATATTTAACTATTTTTTCTTAATATAGTCTTTAAAATAATAATAGTTCTAACTAATACACTTGATCAGTAAGGATATTTTAGGAAAGATAACACATATTTATTAGAAATAACTAACTTAACTAGTTTTCTTAATATGCTTAAATTAGTCGACTAGCTCTTATATTAAAGATCAGAAGTAGTATTTACCACTACATCACAGTTTTTTTGTTTTTTTTTTTTTTTTACGGTTACGCACATTATGTTGCATCTCTATGACACCAACATTATTAGTCTCCACTCTACTTACTGCAAACACAACACATAAGATCCATTTATCCAACCTCGTGCCTGTTTGGATGACACTGGAAACCATGGTTTGGAAGCCCAAACCATGGTTTGCCCAAAAATGTCATCTAAACAGGCCCATAAAAAATGTAAACCTTGGTTTAAGATGAAACCATGGTTTCACCTGGTGAAACCATGGTTTCACCAGAAGCTAATAATATTCACTTCTGGAAAAAAATTTAGGACGGCTAAGGGTCATTCCAAAAACACCCCAGATCCTTCTCTTCTTCGCTGGCCGACACTCCTCCTCTTTGTCGAACATTGCTACTCAGCTCGAAGGTCGACCCTCACCAGAAGCTACTCAGCTCAAAGCTATTACTGGGACGGCTCCAGTAGGCAATTTCCAAAAACATCCCAGATCCATCTCTTCTTCGCTGGCCGACACTCCTCCTCTTCGTTGAACGATCAGACTCAGCTCGAAGCTCGACCCTTCGCCCCTTATCATCAGCTCGTCTCTTCGCCCCTTCATCATCAGGTGGCGTCTTCGGCCGTGCTTCATTGCCAGCTCGCCTCTTCGCCAGCTCGACTCTTCGTCGTCGCTGCTCTGAAACTCGACACCAGTGAGATCGTCCTGGCCTCGCGAAAATAGGGGTGGTCGTGTGTTTCTCGGCTCGCCAAAACCAAAGCAAGCGTTGGGTAGTCCGATCCATCCATCCTCTGTCTCCAATCTTCGTTCTTCAATTCGCTCGGTGAGGTCGGCTTGTGTAGTTCGGTTGGTCCGATCGTGTACTCAGGTTAGCTCTCTCTGGTGATTGCCCAAAATTTTGTTCACTCATGTATTTCCTCCATTCATTGATCTATCAGCTTCTTGCTTATGGTT